CAGAACTCCTCCCAGAGCGATGGCCACTCCTCCCAGCAGCCTGCTGAGCTCCTCGTCACTGTGGACAGCCAACTGTAGGTGCTGAGGGACGTTCCAGTCCTTCAGCTGTCATGAGTCGTGTTTCCTGCTAGTTCCAGGATCTCAGTGGTCAGGCACTCGAGCACAGCTGGCAGGTAGATGAAAATGCGTCCACAGAACATCCTTTTAAACTCATTTGAGATTTGGGGCTGTTGTTGAGATATTATTTGAGCTTTTGAGATATTAATCAGCTGCTGTTGTTGTAAAAAACTGCCTTGTTGTCATGGTTACGCATCATAACAAATGTCCAAAACTAAAAAAGCTTCAGTAAAAATCCTTCCAGCTGCACAGCATCTGATACCAGAGGAAACAATCATCCAAAAAATGTGATTTACATCCAGAAAAAGAGGAATTAAAGTTTCCAAAAGCAAAATCTCAGAATGAAAGTAACAGAGCTGCTCCAACATGCAGCCACCTTGAGCGGCGCAATTCTAGAACTATTACTGTACTTATAGTACTGTTATATGTTATATTATAGTACTGTTAGCAGTGTGGTTCTGTTAGCAGTGTGGTTCTGTTAGCAGCATGGTACTGTTAGCAGTGTGTTCTGTTAGCAGTGTGGTTCTGTTAACAGTGTGGTTCTGTTAGCAGCGTGGTACTGTTAGCAGCGTGGTACTGTTAGCAGTGTGGTTCTGTTAGCAGCATGGTACTGTTAGCAGTATGGTACTGTTAGCAGTGTGGTTCTGTTAGCAGTGTGGTTCTGTTAGCAGTGTGGTTCTGTTAGCATTGTGGTTCTGTTAGCAGCGTGGTACTGTTAGCGATAGGTTAGTGATACATTCCTGCTGGTACATTTGATTTTTGTTTGAATGTGAAGAAAAATGTAAAAATAAATGAAATCGTAACTGTCCTCCTTTTTAATTTCATCTTGATAACATTTGATTCTTTTTTGTCTCAGAGCTGTAAATGTCCCCAGATTTAATGTCAGAAATCTGGTCACCTTATTGTTACTGTGTGTTTACAGTGTTAGCACATAGCATAGCTAAGCTAACTACAGCAGAGTAGCATTGCATTCAGACCCAAAAACCGGCCCCGGCCCGGCCCCAGCCCGTAGCCATCATTTCCGAAACCCATCCGACCCGACAAATTTACAGTAATTACAGGGCAGAACCCCCCCCCCCCCCCCCCCC